AAGAAGAAGAAGAAGAAGAAGAAGAAGAAGAAGAAGAAGAAGAAGAAGAAGAAAAAGAAGAAGAAGAAACTTCTCAACTTTCTGGGAAGCGTACAGTGCAAGCTGCCTTTTTGCAGGTGGCGCTGGAACACCAACAAACTATTAAGATTCTTTCGCTGTCAATGGCCGGGTACCCATTCACACCTGGGTGAATTTAGAAACATTCGTGTCAAGTGCCTTTCTCGCGGATACAGACACAACGTCGTGCTTGAGCCTCAAACCACCGAATCCGTCACCTCACGATGACAAAGTGGGTTCCCGTGGTCTAGAGGTTACGGTGTTCGCCTCCCATTTAATAGATCCCAGGTTCGAAACCTGACAGCGACGGAATATTTTCTTCTCTAAAATGTTTTTCTTTCGTTTTCTTTCCTCCTCTCTAACCATGTTCTGCCATCTACTTTTGTCTTCACTCCCTGCACCCTCGCCCCCCTTTCCCCCCCCTTCCTCTGTGCTCTTGACTCCTTCTGCAGCCTTTCTACTGCTACTCCTTGGCCCCTTCTAACTGTCAGTGACACCTCTGATCTAATGGTAGGTAAAATCTAACAACTAGCAAACGGAGTGGGTGGTTGGCGGGTGCTCTGGTGTGGTTTGTTCCCTCTTTCCTATCGAACAGCTATCGTCCTGATCTCTCCTCTATGTTTTTTTTTTTACGTTTGTTATTCTCTTGTAACAAATCTGATATTCGGCACTTATATGACCTTATTGTGTTGCAAGTGCCGTAAAACTCTTACTAAAGCTAAACTAACACCTAGCCCTCTCGGATAAAGGCAAAAAATCTCGGAGGTCCCGTGTGGAAGTTGAGCACGATAAAGATCCTTTGGTGGTCCTAAATCGATGAGAGTAGGCTTCGGCCGCCATCTGGGCAAAATTCAAAATAAATTCACACCAAAATGAAAATCTTTTATGTATGCTACTGGCTCATACGACCTTATGCAGTTGCGAGCGCCGTAGAACACTGACACCTCCCCCCCCCCCATAACCCCCCCAACCCCCCCCCGCCCCCAAAAATTTAAAATGCAGCCGAAAAACTAGACTTCCGACGCCACAGTAGTATTAATATCGATAATAAGAAAATCCCCTGCTGCGGCAAGACCGACACTGATGGTTATCTAAAGATCTGAGAGAATTAAACGACAATAGGGATACCGTGCAGCTTGTGACACTGTCCGTCGTCTCTCTGGGTCCTGGAGCTGTGTATCTATGGGCATTATCTTTTAAAAAAATCTTTTTTGAATTTTTTTATATAGAGAAAAAGCGAGAGTGAGAGAGACAGGGAGAGAGGGAGAGAGAGAGAAGGAACGAGAGAGAGAAAAAGAGAGAGAGAGAGAGAGAGAGAGAGAGAGAGAGAGAGAGAGAGAGAGAGAGAGAGAGAGAGAGAGAGGAGCAGTAAAAAAAAATCAGCATTGAAATGTGTTCTTCTGTGGACATAGAACGTGCTGAGCCACCCACCTCCCTAAAAAACCCAAAACAAGACAAAAATAAAACAACAACAACCAACAAGTAAATCCCCCCCACCCCCAACCACACACACACACACACACACACACACACACACACACACACACACACACACACACACACACACACACACACACGAAATAAAAAATAAAAATAAATGGTTAAATGTAAGCAAAACGTTCTGAAAAGTGCCGGTTTCTTTGAATTCACTATTTGGACGAGCGCCAAATTTCACCATGATGCCTCACAAATTTTCGCCATTCTTTAGTGACCTGAAACCGTCTGTGGTAAAGTTTACACAGAGGAGGGGGGGGGGGGGGGGGCTCTCATGGCCTAGAGGTTAAGGTGTTGGACTCTCATTCAAAAGTTCCTGTTTCGAATCCGGGTAGCAACGCAAAAATTTTCTTCTCTAAAATGTTCTATTTTCACCTCCTTTCCTGCTCTCAAGCAATGGTCTGTTGTCTGCTTTCGTCTCCACTTTCTGTCCCCACCCCTCATCCCCTTTGCCCCCTCCTCTGGGCTCCTGACTCTTTCTGCTCCCTTTCTACTGCTTCTCCTTTGCTCCTTCTTACTGATGTCGTTCAGCCACACCCATGACCTTCTGGTGGGAAAGATCTTTGCCTAGCCTTCTCGGACAAGGACGAAAAATCTCGGAGGTCCCGTGTGCAAGTTGCGCGCGTTAAAGATCCCTTGGTGATCCAAAATCGATCAGAGTAAAAAAAAAAACATACACAGTTCACACATATTATTATAGAGTTCACACACACGACGTTATTTTTAGCGGAGAACGGGAAGTTTCTAGTAAGAGAAGGATTAAGGGTTAATTTGTTTTCTTTGAGTACGGCTCAACAGGTCAACACCTTGCCAACCGGGGATAAAACAGGGACACGAAAACTTTATTGACAGATTGCAAATGCATAGAGCACCCAACGCAGCACTTTGGAAGAAAAATATATTTATAATGATAATAATAATAATGATAATAACAATAATAATAATAATAATAATAATAATAATAATAATAATAATAATAATAATAATAATCATTGTAATTATACTACTACTACTACTACTACTACCACTACTACTACTACTACTACTACTACTACTACTACTACTACTACTACTACTACTTATAATAATAATAATAATAATCATTGTAATAATAATAATAATAATAAAAATAATCATGATAATAAGTAATAATAATAATAATAATAGTAATAACAATAATAATAATAATAATAATAATAATAATAATAATATAATGATGATGGTGATGATGATGGTGATTATAATTATAATGATAATAATAATAATAATAATAATAATAATAATAATAATAATAATAATAATAATAATAGTAATAATAATAATAATAATAATAATAATAATAATAAAAATAATAATAATAATAATAACAATAATTTGTAATGATACTTGCATTATTTATACAGCGCATATCACTCTCTATAGCACGTTCTATGCAATTTAAAAAAAAATTACTACCTAAGTAGAACTTCGAACACTCCGAAACATTCTCAGTTTTCCAGGAAGCATACAATGCAAGCTGCAGGTCTCATGCACTCTCCAGACACTAAGAAACAGACAAAACCTTTCGCCGTCTATAACCGTGTGAAGTGAGGAATATTCGTAGTGCCTTTCCCAGAGATACAAAGTCGGGCCCTGGCCGGGATTCGAACCTAATACCTTTCGGGTGCGAGTCCATTTAGGATGTGGGCAGCTTTTACCCTGCCTGTCAAAGCTTACTTGGGCTTGTAGGTCTGATACAGCTTTACGCTAGCCCCAGGAGAAAGAAAGAAGGAGATAATGTATAGAAACAGATATTCCCTGTCGGGAATCGAACTCAAAGTATGGCATCGGGGTGAAATCAGGCGCTCGTCAAGATGATGAAATTTGGGGGGGGGGACACTTACATGTTTCCACCCTTTGGGCAATTGACATCGATTCGTTTTGGCTTAACAGCTTTTATGTCCATTAAAAATCCATCTCTGTGGATTTTACTGAAAAAGGTTGATCAAAAACAAAGGGACGAATGTAGATTCGCAGTTTCCAATGACACTGAAGCTTTTGGAACTCACCAAACTTTGCCGGCCATTTTCTCGTTAACCTTATCCCTAACACCAAACGACCTCCGCCTCATTCGGTGGCAAATATCTCGACTTTATTTCAAGATCGGGGGGGTTTCTTCTATCAAAAGCAAGACGAATGAACAAGTTTTAAAGGGATACCAATAACTCCGTATCATATGCCCAAAATTGACGAGCGCCTGATTCCACCGTGTCGTGATACTTATCTTTTCATGTACAACAGCGAGACACTTGTCATTATTATCTCCAATACTGCAGCACCGCTTTGTCTGTAATAGGTGTAACTTTTTTAAACCTATCTGTACTGAGGTTTTGTTCTGTCACACTTTAATTAGATAGATTAATCCAGTCAACAGCCTCGCACTTTTTGATCAATTCTATAAATGTTCGGTCAGGTTGACGCTGTAATTGAATGATTCAACCCTTTACACAACACTTATCTAACAGAAACTGTCGTGGGGGAAAACTTTAGTAGCTTGGATATCTATATAATGGTGACTCATCATTATGTATTAAGAAATCAGCTATGTAATTACTCAAATGATTGGTTTAAAAAAAAAACAGTTTAGGGTGTCAGGCTCGTAGACGAAACGTTTTTACTGAGTTTTTTGGTTTTGATACTCAAATTTGATAATGTCTTTCTTGTCATATTTTGAGACAAACGAAAGGCCAAAAAATGAATGACGCGTGTGGCTTTCAAAAACGGTTGTTATTGATTGACTGCACACAGTAGACAAAAAATGCTTATTAAAACCTACTGTGCCCACAAGCCACAATGACACTGAGGAGAAAATTGTTATAACACTGTTTAGATAGACCCATCTTTTGTCGCCGTCTGACGAATAAATGAGTTTCAACAACGAATAAAAATCTTGTGTAATTTGCCAAAAAGGGTAAGTGTTTAACTCGACTATTCCACTGTTTTGACATCTGCGTAAGGTTTTAGGTGAGAGTGTGGGTATAAAGATGAGTAGGTTGGCCCTCTGTCGCGGAAATACTCGTGCAGCTTGGTATGTTTTTACTGAACCACTTGAAGTAGCGACATGAAAGCGAACAGCTCTCTACCACAACTCACGTCGGGCGTTTTCATGTCACAAGAGGAGTTCCTTTTGATTTTTGACATTCTGATGTACTATGTAAGGCCACCCATCATTGTCCTGGGCCTGATTACCAACAGCCTGAATATTCTCGTCTTTTACAAAATGGGGCTCAAAGATTCCGTCAACATTTCTTTCTTTGCCTTGTCCCTGTCTGATGGTCTTTTCATTCTGCTCGCCGCCCTGGGCGCCGTGTGTATTGTTCTACAGTTAGCTTATCAGGGACTCGTTGGGAATTTGAGATGGGATATGAGTCTATACGATATCAATAGCTATATTTTTTGGTACGCCGTGACATTCTACGACACGTCTATGTCGATCACGGTGTTCATAGCGGTGGTGCGGTGCTGTTGCGTTGCCATCCCCCTTAAGTTTAAGGGTGTGTTCACACGGTCCAGAACTGTTGTGTGTATTGTTGGGATCACAGTTAGCACGGTGCTCACCCGACTTCCGACCCTGATTACCCAGGAGATTGTGGCACAGTATGACGCCATCAACAACAGAACTGTTTATCGTCTGCGCTACACGGCTGACAGACCACAGGCTATAGAGCTGAACGATATCATGAACCGAACAGTCCTATATTGGGTTGCTATGGTGACAATGTCCATCTGCGTAGTCGTCTTGGAAACCAATCTTCGGTCTGCTTCCAAATTCCGAAGGTCGTGCGAACTCCAAACACAGGACAAACAGGCCACTCCCTCGGACAACAAACCTGCTCCCCAGTCCAACCGTGACGCCAGAGTGGTCAAGATGGTGATCCTGGTGACCAGTCTCTACCTGGTGCTGGCGCTGCCGTTCATGCTGTATTCTCTGTCGCGGAGACTGGTGCCTGGCCTCGATCTCTCCGGCCGCTACATGAGGTTCTTCGCTGTCATCACAACGCTTGGCGGCGCCTTCACCTACCTAAACTCAAGTCTCAACGCTTTCGTGTATTATCACACTAGTTCCGGTTACAAAAAAATCGCCCTCTCCAGTTTCAGGGCAGTGTTATGTAGACAAAGCAGAGAAAGATAAAACAAAAAGAAAGGGGAAAAAGAAGGGGAAAAAAAAGAATTTTTAAATGTAAGTTATCACCCCTTTCTTTACAGTTTGGCAACGTAAGAGGCGGGAACACCAAACCTGAAAAATGTCCATCTCTGACACGGTAAGACAAAGACAGTTGGATTGAGAACCTTGAAAACTCCACAAAACGACCCGAGTTCAAGAAAGCCTAGTAAGGAATTTGAACCGAGGCTGCCCACTTCAATCTCCAGCATGACACCATCTATGCTAAAGAAGAAAGGGAGTGAGGTTTTGATAGTTGTCCTTTAAGTCCTCCTAAATGAACATGTAACGGCTTTGTGCTACGTAGAAGTTGAGGTGTGAACTTCCATAGCATCCCCCTCCCCCCTTTTCCTCACCCCCCCCCCCCCCCCTAAAAAAAAAAATATTTAAAAAACCCCGGGACTCCTTGATGTAGTTATTAGGTGTTTCGTCGTTGCATGCAGGAGACACGAGTTCGATTCTCATGGGAGGAGAATTTATATCGAGTATCTCGGTCTTACTGCTGCGATCTTACATCCCTCTAAGACCACTTTTTAAAAAGTCATCATCATATTATTGTAAAAATAAATACTATACAAGAAGAATTCACTAATCGTTCAGTAACTTGATTCTGGGGTAAGTATTTTAGATCACTGGAAGGCTTCCGAAGGGCCACAACGTTATTTACAGTTCTGTTCAATCTTTACCCTTTGTGTGATTGTAGATGTTATAATTCCTCTGTTGCTATGAGGCTATAGGACGGGCTTCTGTGGTGTAGCAGTTCGCCACTTCGCCGTCACATGCAAGGAATCTGAATTCGGATCCCGTGAGGGGAGATCGAGTGTCTCAGTCTAACTACGGGGACGTCATGTCCTTCTCAGCCCGGGTTGGCTCTGACGGGGTTGGTCGAAGCCTGGCTCTTAAATGATCTAAATTGTGTCGATGGGGGCGTACAACGTTTAAATATTTAAAAATGCGTTTTTATAATAATGATATTAATATGCTCGTTCCCTTTGGGGTCGATTGAACCAGCATTCTAAACGATCTCAGTTTGGGTCGATTGGTAAGTAGAAGTAAGTTCATGGGTTTAATGCCCCTCTTGAACCCTAATAGGCTATTGAAAGGGTCGGGATTTCGATTTCCGCGTCTTTTTTTTTGGTAAGTGTTTTACGGCGCTAGCAACTGCATAAAGTCATACGAGCGCCGCAGGACACATTAAACAATTTCAGTTGGTAGGGAATTTTGAATTTTGCCCGGATGGCGGCCCAAGCCTACTCTTATCGATTTTAGACCACCAAGGGATCTTTCACGTGCACATCTTGCACGCGTGACCTCCGAGATTTTTATCCCTTGTACGAGAAGATTAGATGTAGGTCTTTCCTTCCAGAAGATCAGGGGTGTGGCAGAAAGACAGCAGTAAGGAGGGGTCAAGGAGAAGTAGAAAGGCTGCAGAAAGAGTCAGGAGCCCAGAGGAGAGGGCAAAGGAGGTGAGGGAGTGCGGTCAGAAAGTGGAGACGAAAGCGGGACGACAGAACCTTGCTAGAAAGCAGCAAAAGAGGTTAAAGGAGACCATTTTAGAGAAGAAAATTTTTCCGTCGCTACCCGGATTCGAACCCGGAACCTTTGAATGAGAGGCAAACACCTTGACCTCTTGGCCACGAGAGCCCCCTTTCAACGTCCGTCTCCCTAAGGAACAGGTCAAATAGTTGAACGACCTGAAAGGTCCACATAACGTTTCCGGTTCAACGCGACCAGTTTGGGATTCGAACCAGGATAATCAAATTCGTATTCCAGCATGATACTAACTGAACTATAGGGGAACCCTCGGCATTGGAGGCTTCATAAAATGTAACAATAAATGTTCATTAAAAAAATAAGGAAAAGGAATAAGGGGGTCGAATTTAGTTCACTTCAGTTATATCATTACATCATAATAATAGAAATGACATTCTAGATGTATTCGCTTAAAGGCGACACAACTAAAAAGTACAGAACGATTTACGACAATTTGAAATCAGATATAGAATTGTGCCCTCCCCCTTTTTTATTTCTCTTTTTCAAAGTGGTGCAACCTGTCACTTTCGGCCTGTGTGCTGAGAAAACCGGAGTAAAAACCAGCAGCAAAAACAAAGAAAAAAACAGTAAGGAGGTTGTACAAATTAACTCTTAGTATACGGAAAGCTATTTCCCTTATGTACGCAGCAAACGCTTTAAGCATCACAAACTTTCCTTTAACCCGCATTATTAAACCTATGGAAGTTGTTCGGGGACTGTACAGTCCCATCGCGCTACCCACTCGGGGACTGTGCAGTCCCCTAAAAACTTCCTTAACCAATTTGAGTAAAATAAACACAGACCTGAATAAAAACGAATGATCAAATGTAACAAACATGCAGTATGGTTATAATACGATGGCCTGGCTGAAGTTTGGTATGATTAGTGGTTAGGCTACCGGACTCGTAATCTTGAGGTAGCGGGTTCGGGGGTTCGAGCCTCAGGCTAGGCGTTGTGTACTTGGGAAAGGCACTTTATAAGAATTTTTCTCACTTCACCTAGGTGAGAATGGGTACCCAGCCGGAGACAGTGCAATATATTGTCAGTAAGTTGATGTTTTAGTTCCTGTTAAATGGCAGCTTGTACCGTATGCTTCCTAGGAAGTTGAGGCTGTTTCAGAATTCTTTCAGGTCTGCTGGAGTAATAACATAGTGAGGAATTCGAACCAGGGTCACCCACTCTATAGTCCAAAATGATACCAAATGATCAAACGGAGCGCCCAATTGGGATGAAAAAAAAAACTACCAAGTTGTATGAACGAAATGACGTACGTGTACTTCTCAAGAGAAAGGGAAAGGGAAAAATAAAAAGACACCAGTATCGTAGTTGTCGTTCCATGAATTGGGACATTCATTTGTAGGCAAAGACGTGGGTTCAATTCCAGTGTTAGGAAGATGTTTTTCTTTTTAATTTATTGCCACGATCTCTTGCTGTTATTTCACAAAGCCTGACCTTACGAGACAGAAATACCAGTATAACAATATTATATGTACTTTTCTTAAACGGAAAGACATTCTTCTTCTCCCAGAAGTATCAGATCTGAAACATACATTATCGATTAGGGTTCGCTATTCAAATTTTATCTTTTTGAAATCAGAATGGATGCTCTAAAAATGCAGTGGTGTTTTTCATTCATCTGTCATTTCATTTCAAGAAAAAGCAGTGTATATTTGGCTATTTAAAACTGATATTTTGCAGTGGACATCCGTGTCAACAGGGCATTCCCTAACATGGCTTTTGATAGGTGTTCCGTTTCTTTTATCCAAACGGTTGAAATAAAAACGTTGACGGGTTTCTTTTTGCCCCATGTCTCTTTTTCAGGTGCCATGTTAAAGGCCTTCCTCGAACAAGAAAATATCTGATTGTAAGAATGCAACAAGTACAATAATAATATTTCAACACTGTGGTGGACCAGTGAGAGAATAAGGAAAACAATAATTAGTTCTTTTATCATGTAATTTATACTAAATTTTCCAATGGATAAACATTGTGACATTAAACATGGTGGCGTTGGTGGTCGAGTGGTTAGGCTGAAACCGTAAAGGCACTTTACAAGAATTTTCCTAATTGACTTGGTTCTATCAGAGATGGGTGCTGCATTTGGAGGTCCTGTCTCTAAAATAACTTCCCAATGTTACAACGGGTGTCAAACCTACACTATTTCGCACTCTGTGGGGTTTTTTTTTCAAGTTTGATTAAATTTAGAGTAGAAAGAAGGTCGTCGACACGATGACGGTAACATCTCGCAGAAAGAAGCGAGACATACAGACAGAAACAGCAGAGAGAAAGAAAAGGAGTGAGACCTACCAGTGGCCCCCTCCAACCATCCGCATTTTGAAATCTAAACGTGGTACCGTTTAAATCTAGCTTTTGTCAGATCTGCTGATTGTATCCAAACAAACAATGTATACGAAATTAGTTTAATCTATGTTGTGTACCTGCGGAGATAAATGTCAATGTCATTTGGTCAGAAACGTGTCTAACAATAACGCCTTAATGAGGTGTTCAATAAACAAACAAAAAATTGTAGTTTACAGTATTGGTAAATTCTTATGCTAACAATTATTATGACAAGACAGGTTTAGAAGAAACCCTACTTCGTACGACTTACAGCTAAAAACACAAGTTAAGATTTGTCTTTAAAAGAAAAAAACAAAAAAACACACACCCAAAAAAAAACAACAACAACCAAATCCAAAACAGTTTTGTGTTTTCGAAAATAATCTGATCGCCAATATTAAATCGAACACATTTATAGAAGTAAAAAGAATGTTATTTGAGATAGTAATGTATCAAAAAGTAAACAGAAACATATCTACAGGTTATAACAAATAGTTTATTCTTTAACGTTACACAATTCCTCATTCTTGGCAGTGGTTGGAAATCTTAAACAAATTCACCTGTAATCATTATTATGCCAAGACAGGAAAGCTCGGAATAGCTTCTGTCCTAAACTATATTATAATTATTGTGCTGGTTTGTTTGTTTGTATGCTTGTTTGAACCACATCGACTCAGTTATGGTCATTTAGTGCTAGGAAAAAGTAAGTCAAACAGACAGACAGAAACAACAGGTGGACATGGTAATAATTATAAATAGTTTTTATGCTGTGCATTTCCACTTTCTACAAAATGATTAATGCGCATTATATAAAAAAGACATCACATCTTAAAAACTGATCGACATTGTACGTAAAATACAGTATTATGTATATATATATATATATATATAATATACAGCCGGTGTTTTTCACAAACCACTACATGCAGAAAGGCGAATTTTACAGGAAGGACAAACAACTGATAATTGTTTAAAAAGCGCATCGTAATCTTACATATTTCTGTACAAAAGGTTAAGTTATAAGTGTTGGGACCAAGTACTACTTGATTTTTCTTAAATACCACAACCGATAGATTTATATTGGACGTTTCCGGTTATGGGATGACAAAAAATGTGCAGCACAATGCAGGTGGCCGGTTCTCTGCACTAAGCCGGTTCGAGCATAATGCTTCCGCGCACTGCCGTGACTTGACGCGTCATGTAGCCGGTTAGGCGCAGCTGTGTGCTACTGTTCGCTGTCATTGGCCTAACAAGTATAGATCTACACAGACGACGGCGACTCCAGCACTTTAAGATTCGAGTCCAGACTCGAGTATCTGCTCTGGACTCGAGTAATTACTCGAGTAATTACTCGAGTAATTACTCGAGTCCCACGGCTCTTAAGACTCGAGTAATTTCTCGAGTAATAGTATCCCGAAAGGGAATTTTAGTGGGTTAAAAATAAAAATTTTTGTTGAATATCGGACTGAAAATAGAGTGCCTTCCTAGGAAGGAGCTTGAGTAGGCGTATGGCAATTCTAGACATATGCATGCTGTTTATACCGTATTTATTTTATTTTATCTTAGGAAGTGGCTGTTCTCACCCCGGGTGAGAATAAAAATACGATCGACCTCTCACCCCGGGTGAGACTTGCCAGCGTTGGCTATTCTCACCCGGTGTGAAACAAAACAGGTTTTTCCTAATTTCTGAATACTTCCTATCGGTGAGGATGATTAAATTGACAAACCCATTTTTAAAAAAAATGATATTATGACACAAAATTAAAACTAATTTGGCGGTCTACAAAGATGCTACGGCTATTTCACTTTTCGAATCGAGCCGAACTACCCTAATCGGCATTTTGTTTTGCCCAGAAGTTCTCGCTATATCTACCCCCCCCCCTCTCTCTCTCTCTCTCTCTCTCTCTCTCTCTCTCTCTCTCTCTCTCTCTCTCTCTCTCTCTCTCTCTCTCTCTCTCTCTCTCTCTCTCTCAATGCCCGCAGATAAAATTGCATGTTTTCAACACAAGAGGACTGGAACGTTTGTTTACACCACAGAATTCAATTTTTAAATAGTGTAGATCTAGAATTCTGTGGTTTACACTGGGTATCACGGTAAATGCACACCGGGAGAGAATAGCCAAAAGGCTCGCTCTCTCACCCCGGGTGAGTGAGAAGCTTACAACTGTATAACAACCAAGCTAGAATAGTGGTGGTCTTTATCTTATCTTATGTTATTTTTTTTTTTTTTTAAATAATTCTGTTACAACAGTAAAAATAAAATGTACACAGACTGTTTTCCCCCTACAGACTCGAGTCTGGACTCGAGTCCTTACTCGAGTCCTTACTCGAGTAATTTATTTGTGACTCGAGTCTGGACTCGCCGCATGTATTACTCGAGTACTCGAGTCTGGACTCGTTACCCGCACACCTCTAACGCCGAGTTATAGGCCTTGAATTCAAACCAATATCCTAACGAAAGCTGACTGGTTAAAACAAAATGCTTTACAATGACAAGTTCAGTGCTTTGACTGGCCCTTTGTCAGTAAATAAATTAATTAACCCTAATTGTTGAGTGTAAGCCTGGTTACTGGGAGGTGTGGGTTCAAACTTTGTTGCCTGTAGTTTCATAATGGAGACTTTATATTTTTAACATTCTATCAGCTCTCTCGCCTAATATTTGAGATTATGAGACCAGTACTAGGAGAAGTCGTTGACCCGGTGTCTGAAGGCCATTACTGTGAACGTATGAAATGGTAAAACTTTAACGCCCCTATCAACGCTATTAGGTTATTTAAGAGGAGGGGTGGGGTGGGGCACTATATCTGCCCGTGTGGAAATTTAGCTGTACTACGTGAAATATCTCATTGTGCCAGGTCATTAATTGTATGACTAGAATTGTTTGATAAGATGACCTCTAGATCTATGTGTTTACAAAAATATCAAATAAAACCCCAAACCAACCCTAACTACAGGACAAGACGTTTTTTTCAGTATAGTCTAAGAAACCTCTGGTTTCGCTTGATATCCTCCAAGAGCAGGGCCTTGGTATGGCACACGTTGGTCTCGGGGTTCTAATCCGGATCGGGGGTGGTTATAGGTTCGATTGGCTGCTGAATTTTTTAAAAAGATGTAAAAGTTGGTCACTTAATTTGCATCTTTTTGTCTGGGTCATGGTTGAAGGCTATAGTAATATGTATCGTTTGACTGCGTCTATCTGGGGTTCGTTTCTTCTTGTGCATTTAATTTTCATCATTTCTCACGCTTGAGTTTACGTATAATAAACAATGAAAAGTATAAGCACCATGGACGAAAAATCACATTTGAATTCAAATATTGCGAGTCTCTATTTTCCTGATCAGCATTGTTCGGTGCTAGTCATTTGACACAGCATGGTAGTCAACTGGCAAAACCTCTTACACCGTTTGGAGATGTTAGTATTTCTCCTTTTTTCATTTTCCTCGAGCTATTGTAGACAGACGTTGGGTCAACCTGCTCCGACTTTGGTTAGTTTGACCCCTTGAGAGAACTTGGTGGGACTCACCTAAATGACTCATTAGGATACACCTCTTGTCCGTAAACGAGGAGTCCCCGACTTTCCTGTTGGGTTGGATGGATGCCGGGTCAAAAATGTTCTTAAAATCCTGAAAGTCATTGGTGTTACAGACATTTCATAAATTATGAGCGTGATAAATGTGTATTATGGACGTTCTGGGCTAACACATAGGTAAGGGAGTTCTTCAACCGCATAATAACCCTGACCCTGACCCTCACCCTCACCCTCACCCTGACCCTCACCCCGACCCTCATCCTCACACTCACCCTGACCCTCTCCCTGTCCCTCACCCTCACCCTCACGTTTTGCGATATCTTCTTTGGCAGGTCATTATTCGACACCTCACTCACCGGATTAATATTCGATACCTCCCTTGCCAGTTCAGTACATCACTGGGTGTCGTTACTCGATACCTACTGTCCCAGACTATCCGGTATCTCCCGATATCGTTGATAAATCCACACTATGATCGAAAACTCCCCTGCCAGGTATTATTCGATACCTCCCTTAGCCGGTATGTTCGATTCCTACACAACGGTAATTGTTCGATACTTCCTTGCCTGTTTGTATGTGAAGGTCTATAATCTATACCTTCTTTTCTGTCATTACTCGATACCCTTTAAAATTCAGTATAGCTCATTATTCGATACCTCTTTTCTGGCCATTGATACCAACTTTGCCTAGTTCGATGCCATATTTGCCTAGTCATTCGGTCCCATTCCGTCTCCCAAGTTATCGTTTTTATACCTTCTTTGCCTGATCATAATTAATACCAAACTGGTCATTATTTGATATGTATCCTTAGGTTTGTTTTTGTTCGATTTCCCTTCATCCGGTCTTTATTTGTCAAACCTCGACAGCTCCTTAATATTAATAACTAATCGATGCCATTTTGAACTTTCAATATTATTATCATTTCTCTTTCTCTCCCTATCTTTCCCTCGTCGTTTAAGAGCAAATATTCGATACCTACTTATTGTTTTATAA